TCCCCACCCCCACATCCCCGCCCCCACCATCACCCCTCTTGAAACCCACCCATGAAGCCTGGATGAAAGACCTTTGGTCTGGGCAGAGTTTTTCGGACCGCGTATTGGTAAGTCACAACAGCATTAAAACAAAAGAGGAACAGAAAACAGCAGAGTAGATCCCAACAAGGAGAGGACACTTCAGTTAAGTGTATTTATATTTAAATAGACACCCACATATGGGTGCACTGAGTCACAGTGTAAAATGCTTTTCCTACCACAGTTCTTGGTCAGAAACAGTTGACAGTCCTGCTCTAGAGGCAAGAAGCCAAGGCTGCTCCCACCGGAAACAGCTGAACTCGCAGCTCTGCAGTTTCTGAAGCCCCGGGACCCCCAGGCCTACTCAGAGCCCGCGCTTGGCCCACCCAGGGCAGGGTCTCTGCAGGGAAGGCCGCAGCCGCCGGGAAGCCGCTCATAGGGCCGAGCCAAGCGGTGCCCCCAGCAGCACAGAGCCCCAGCAGCCTGCAGGAAAAGGAGGGATGCGTTTCTGGTGCCGCCTTCCAAACACAGGATCCAGTTTTCAAAATCTAATCAAATATTTACAAGATGGGACAAGGCCTCTTCATCAGTATGTTGAAAAGGCATGTGGTTTCCCATGAGCCACAGCAAGGGGTGGCTTTTGAAAGACACTTAGAAAGCTTTCAGAGACCCCACAGAACCCCAGGAGCTCCCACCTGCCCACCTCACCCAGCACTAATGAGCCTCCACTGGGGGTGGCGTTTTCCCCACAGATCCGCCCGCCTGGTGCTTGAAAACTCATCACCTCTAGTCCTGGGAAGCTGGAACCCACCCTGCCCCCAGGGATGCCAGAAAGGCTGCTCAAAGGCACCGAGGTTGGCATCAGACACCCTGGTTCAGAGCCCAGGCTGGTCACTACACCTCGTCCACACTGGCTCCTACCCCACAGGACATGATGCCTAGGCCCCCAGGCCTTACCCCCGAGGCTGGAGTCCTTCTCGACTCAGTCAGCTGGAAGCTGTGCCCCGCTGGCTGGGCAGAGAGGAAGGAAAGGAGGGGTGGGGGAGGCTTAGGAGGGTTAAACTGCACTTGCCCTATAAGGATGGCTTCTGAATACCCAGCAGCTCTGTCCGTGCAGAAGGTGAGGGTCTAGCTTTTATTGAAATTTGAGGGGAAGCAAAAAGACTCAAATCATGCATCGAAACGTCCAGAGGAGACACTCCCTGGCTGGATGGCCTGCTGGCTGGGACCCACTCTGCAGGGTGACCTCGCCTCCTGGAGGCCTTGGAGCAGCCCCTAGGGCCTGGAAAGCCCGCAGCCTCTCCTGTGCGCGGCCTATTCGGGTTTCTGTAGTGGGAGGAGAAGACAAGGGGGTGGCCCTGGTCCTTCCTCAAGGTGAAGCCGGCCTAGATGACCCCAGCATTATGCATATGGTCACTTGGCCCTCTCCATGCCCAGCATGGCCCTTGGAGCCACCTGGGGGCAGCCATGGCCTGAGACCCATGAACACCCCATGCGAGGCCGGGAGCAACGGGGCCCCATCTCCAGGGCAACCTGGCGCCTGGACCAGGTGCCCTCGCCACCTGAGGATGCTGCCCACCACTGGGACGCGCCCGGACCCCGAGGAGACTGGAGGGATCCGAATTCTGACTGAGCGGTGGGAGGCAGCTTTATAGCCTGAATTTCTGTCTTTCTGTTCTAAAGTAACCATTGGAATAATTTTCTTACAGAATGATAGTTGCCATGACAACCAGAGCAAATTTTCCTTTTCTGAAACAGATGTCTCATTTAGTTGAAAATTAGAATGTGAACAAACCCATGGGAAAAATTAATTCAAGCTTTACCAGAGCGCTGACTACACTGTAAGCGCTCAGAGGTTAACCCCTTGACAGCTTTTTGGTGCGCTTATGGTAACCTTAGAATCCAGTCTAATTAAGCCCGCTTAGCCAATATAAATGACCTCCTCGTGGCCAATCATTAAACAGTTTCCCCCTGAAGCATGAATCCATCTCCCTAACAGCAGATGGGAGGGGCCATACTTGTCTGTGGGAAACGCTGAAGCACAGCCCGCCCTGCGCTGTTTATCGTCTCCCCAGGTAGGTGCTCAGGCCCCAGCGGTGCGTGGGGGGGGTCCTTCCATTAGCCAGGCCCACAGCCACCCCATTTCCTGGGGGCACTGGGCGTGGGGGTGTAGAAGCCTGGGGTGCCCCTGGGTGGGGCTGGGCCCAGAGGTGCACCCAGGCCAGGGAGTGAGCCCAGGAGGGCAGTGGGGGAGGGGGCACTCCTGCGATAGGACGCCCAGGTGGCTTGGAGGAGGACACCACTCGGGCCCAGCCCCGAGGCCCTCTACGAGCACCCGGCCCTCACACCCTCTCCAGGGCAGAAGCTGCCATCACCACCCCACCTTACAGGTGCCGGAACCAAGGTGCAGAGAGGTACACAGACAGGCCAGGGTTCCCTGGTGACCACGTGACATGGCCAGGGCTCAAACCCAGACAGCAGGTTCTGGGGCCTGTGCCCTCTGCTTCCACCCCTGCATTATGGAAACAGGACCAGGAATCCTGCCTCCCCTTCCTTAGCAAACCCTGCTTTCCCAGGCATTTTCACATCTTAGCCCAATTAATCTCAGGACAAAGCTGTTGGGGGGGCCCCATTTTAGAGATGAGGCAGTGATGGCACAGAGAGGTCAAGCAGTGTGTCTGAGGACACACAGGCGGCAAGAGGAACCTGGGCCAGGGTTCCTGGCCCCTGCACCATGTAACCAAGGAGCAGCTGGCATAAAGGGAACCCTGCTGGTGTGGCCGGGCCACAGGTTCCATCTCTTTGATGGTAACCGCCTGCCCCTCTGAGCAGCTCCCGAATGTCCCCTGCCAGGTCCAAGCTCCACCCTCTGGTCTGTGCCCCACCCCTCATCTGTCCCCCCGTGTGATTCCAAAGCCTGCTTTGGCTCCCCAGTGCCTACAGGACAGCCCAGCCCTCATGCCTGGCATGCAGGTCCCTTGGGCTCTGCCCCAGCCCAGCTTTTTGGATCCACTGCTCAGACTTCCTGCCGAATCACCGCCCTGACACAACAGTCCTCTTCCGTTTCCTGGGCCCAGGCCAGCCTCTCCTCCAGGCTTTAGCTCACGCCGTACCAGCCATCTAAAATGCCCTTCCGAGCCTCCACTTGGAGTCCAAGGGACTGGGTCATCTCCATCCCCCGAGCAAGGTGTCCCTTCCTGCAGTGACAGCCCCCTTGCCGGCTCC